CTATTATAAGAAATCTGACTTGAAATTTCCCTGATGTCCTTTGAATTTTACTTCCCTTCTTTGCAGTAATCCTAACACATGTCTAACATACATTTTAATATTTAACTTGAGAGACAAAAAGACAGATGCTCCTTTATGGGATTACTTGCATAAGTAATTTTTAGCATAACTGAAGCTGGATATTGTTAGAATGTTTTTTATTTTTAGCTGAGAAAAGCGTATTTATTTTCAGAGATGAAGTTGAAAGACTATGCTGAGCCTGACAGAGATGTGGTGCAAACTTAACCACTAATTATCATGAAAACCTGAAATGTCCTATAGCAAGGTGACAAGTTCTTAATTCAATGAAGAATCTTTTTTATACAAAACCTCACTCTTCTGACAGATTACCTCAAAGATCTTTTGATCTTGAGTGAGTTAGGAGCCATGCTATTTGTGAGCCTAACAGAACAGAATCACATACAACCAGTTTTCCTGCAATTCAGGCAAAAATACACATCCCATGCTGTTTCACACACTCACTCAGCCTTAGCTGTCTTAGATCAAAGTTTTAGCAAGTATTAAGGAAAGCTGAAAAAACAATACATACCTTTTATATTTGATGTCTCACACTGCAGTTGTAGTAGATACTAGGTAATTGCTAACAAGCCTTCTGGAAAGGACACTTTTATACACAAAGCTTTCAAATATTTATGGTGGTCCTTCTATCAGGAGTGCTTCCCACCTTCTGCACTTTCAAGCCTTAAACCAAATCATCTGATGTGTGTTTTTCTTTTGCTTGGTACCAGCAGCACTCACAGCTGCACTGATAAGGGGTTACTTGCTTTATTGAAGCATAATTACTTTAAGAACTCTAATTCAACCTGAAACATATTTACTATCATAGCTTTAAATTAACTTTTGTGAATTTATCTTACAAGACCATGAGGTAGTGTGACTCTTGCCACTGTTTTAGACCATTACCTCTCTGCTATATGCCATCTTAACATGTTGCCACTGTTCATTTTGGGGAGCTTAGAAGCGATCTTTTTAGGTGACTGTCAGTAACTCATTCCAGCAGAGAAAGCACCAGATCAGGGCAAGGAGCTGGCTGATCCTCGTGGAAAGTCTCACATTGCAGCAGCTGCCTCTGCTGTATCTGAGTCATGAATAAAAGGCTTGTTTTTATCCTGGCTTTCAATTAAATTTTGGTAAACACAGACATTTACCAAAACATTTAAAACAGTTTATCTGACTCCTAAATGAATGTTTGTTTTCTCTGGAACAGAGTCAAAGCCTGAAACTCTATTCAGAGAAAATTTCAAATGATCAGTGAACAATGGAAATTTCTGTCTCTGTTTCTGATCTTTGCAATGTCAGCAGTCCAGATTTTCAAAGTTAAAAAACCAGCACCCAAGGTACGACAAGACTCTGAGTTTGTTGTTTTGTTTTTTCTCCAACCCCCTTTTTTTCTTAAGGCTCAGAAGTGAGCAAAGGGAATGACTCCATTAAGGATATCACAACCTGATGGCCAAGCAGGAGTTCATCAGACACAAAACCAATTCATCTTTAAAGTCTACACCTGCTGTCAACACCAGGCTTCTCAGGCTCTTCAGCAATGAGCTCAACTTTGTGGAGCCATCAGCAGTTTTGCATTTTCCTAGCTGTTGATCTGAGGCATGATGGAAGAAGAAAAGTAAAAACTTCTCACGTCCTCCCCCTGCTTTCACCTATCTGCTTGCAGTCAGGCACACCTCATCCCCAATGACTCGGGTTTAATAACTGTGATGAATATAGAAACTATTTAATATGCTAAATCTAAGTTTATCCTTCAAATAGTCCCCTGTAAAAATAAATGCCTTATGGTGCATTTTGCAATTAAATAAAAGAGTATTAGGGAAGAATTGCAGAAGGTATGAGGCCAGAAATCAGGCCAGTCATCAATGCTGTGCTAAAGGGCCACACCGGCTCACGCTCAGAGGTAAAAACGGCTGCTTACTTTCTTCACAGCTGGATCAGGCGACTGCTTTAGCAGGCCTCTGAAGCTACCATTCCACAGAATTCATTACCTGAGTTTTAAAATGTATGCCAGCAGATTTCCTTGCACCACTGAAGGAAAGATTAAAATGCAGTCACGCAATCTATTACCTGGTTGGATAGCACAACTCTTAAAAATGCTTAACATTCAGAATAAGTGGCTTTTGTTAAAATTAATTTCACTGGCGGGTGGCCTATACATTACTGTCACAGAAGCAAATGCCCTCTTCAAACAGTGCAAGTGACAGCCAAAGTCTGCCAAGGACGGATGGAGGACAGATTCGAAAAATGTTTCCAAGATTCTAACACTGAATTACCAACAGAGAAGTTTAAAACAAAAAAGCAAAAATAGACTCACAGAATACCAGGTTGGAAGGGACCTCAAGGATCATCTGATCCAAACTTTCTTCGCAAAGCATGACCTAGACTAAATGTCCCAGCACCCTGTCCAGCTGAATCTTAAAAGTGTTCAACACTGGGGAGATTATCTCTTCCCTGGGGGGATTATTCCAACAGCTGATTGTTCTCACTGTGAACAATTTTCCTCTGGTGTTCAACCAGAATCTCCCCAGGCATAATTTGTGCCTATTACCTCTTGTCTTTCCCATGTGACTCCTTGTAAAAAGATAGTCTCCCTCCTTTTTGTAGCCACCCTGTAAATACTGGAACATGGTGATAAGGTCTCCCCTGAGCCTTCTTTTCTATAGGCTGAACAAACCCACTTCTCTCAGCCTTTCTTCCTGGTGTGAGGAAGGCTTTCCAGTCCTTTGATGTTCGTGGTCCTTCTATGGACCCTCTCCAGCCTGTCCACATCTTTTTTGTATAGCAGGGACAAAAACTGAACACAGGATTCCAGGTGTGGCCTGACAAGCACTGAGTAGAGTGGGCTAATGACATCTTTATCTCTGTTGGTGATGCCCTTGTTAATGCAACCCAGCATCCTGTTGGCTTTCTTTGCTTCAGCTGCACACTGTTCACTCTTACTGAGCTTCTTGTCCACCAGGATGCTCAGGTCCCTTTGCACAGAGCTGCTCCCAAGCTGGGCAGATCCCAGCCTCTGCTGCACTCTTGGATATATATATAAAGTAGTTTTGATAAAGGATGCTGATGGTGCCTCAGACTGACAAACTGTCTTTTAAACAAAATGACTACTGACCTCAGATGACCACGTTTTATTTCCCTTTCACTGTATGTGTACATACACGCACGTGCATGTAAGTAATTTCTTAAAGAACATCACAACAAAAATGTGAGGTGATTTCTTCCTATTAGCTTTTAAACCAACACAAACAACAGGAATTAGATCTATTCATTTCAGTTCTGCTTGAAGTAGAATTTCAGTGGCTGTACATACCACATCTTAAACTGCACAGGCAGTACTGAATTAATCAAGCTTTTACAGAGTCACTCAGTCGTGAGAAGTGCCAATCACTGGATGTTCCACTTCAAATGAGAAGTAAAGGCACTCAGAGTAAAGTACGTACTGTACCACTCATTTTCTACATTTTCAACATAGAAAACATGACCACACTAACAAAATAATAACGTAGTAAAAAAGCCACCACGCATTCACTTCTGCAACCCCCCTGTCCCATTCACTGCTGATGAAACAAAAGTCCATGTATGCAGCATGCAAAGCTGTTGGGGCTGCCTTCCAACTGCACATAAGCAGGTCAAAACCTGCTCAGCTGATGCAGGGACCTCTTCAGTATCTCTAGACATATAGCAAATGAAAACCCTTTATAACATTACTGAAAGGAGTTTATATCTGTATAGCAGATATTATTGAAGTTGAAGGCTATACATAGCTATACACACACATGCACCTTCAATTATACATAATTTATAAGCTTATCTGTTCACAGGGCTTTGCATGACAAACAACAGTAGCAAAGTAAAAACATATCAACACAGCCCTGCCATATGAAAAAAAAACCCCAGCCTTCTTTGGATCCATCTGGCCCCAGCTAGTACTGAAACGTGTTGTATGGCAGTTGTTCAGAGCTGTGTTCTCTACAGCTCATCCACACCACATCTTGTGCTCTACCAGAGTGTTTTGCCCCTCCAAAACATCGTCAAAACCTCCTCTCTCCCTTATCCAAAAGACACAGCTCTCTCTGGTTATGATGTTATGTCTGGCCTACAACATCTCATAGCAGACCATCAAGCTGTCCTGTCACTGCTGCATCACTGAACCTTCTACAGGTTCAAATGTGGCTGAAGGCTGAGTCCAATCAAACTGGATCTCCGTTATAAAGAGGGTAAGAATTAATTTCACCTTTTTGTTGTCTTAGGGACGTGCTGGTGTGCATGCAGAGAGATCAGAATGAAACACACTGATCACCTCCCTAGCTTCTGTGTTTCTCATTAGGCATGTGTAGAATACTTACTGCCACAGGACTTTGGGTGTGTGACAATGGCTGGATGAGTGTTGCGACAGTTCAGCAGTTACACAAAATTAAAACTTAAGAACAGCTCATACAGCATTATTGACACCTTCTTAATCCAAAAAAGGCAACAAAACCAAATCAAAGAACTGGAATCAGAGCCATGGTATGTAAAACACTACGCACAATTTACCAGCAAGAGCATTAGAAGCTTGGACTCTGTAAATTACTCCATTTCCTAAATCTCCTCTGAGGCTGCAGTGTTACAGATACAGTTCCAACCTAAAAATCTGTCTGAATATTCACAGTGATAAATAGGCAGAATTACTATGCCTAACCACTATATAGAGAGTGTAAATCCAACTCAGTGAAAGGACCACAATTCAATTGTGGCTATCTGGATCTTGCTGTCAGCTTATACAAGATCAAACCGAATCACCGAATTCATACTAAGATGACCAAAAACTAAGGACCAGACAAGACAAAGACAGAGGAAAAAATGCAAGATGCCTCCGTTTCCCATTTTTTCCAGCATCTTAACATCAGCATTATGCGATAATGGGAAACTGGTAATCAGAGCCTTTTACTTAAACATACCAGATATCTTTCCTCTTGCCTCATGCTGGGGGTACGGATCATGTGATTCTGTTCTCCTCTCCAGTCTCCAAAACGTCGAAAAAAATAATTGGATAAAAATCGATTGACAGGATCTCTAATGATATTGATGTAGACTGGCTGGTCTCCTCCAAACCTGGCGGGAGAAAAGCGGGTGAATCCATCAGAAGGTTCCATACTGGCACACATATCCATCTTTTATCTGAATGTTTTCAAATTACTCTCTACACAAGCTCAGAGCTTTTACAAGGTTAGAAGTGAAACTGAGAAGCTTACCATTAGTTATCAAAACTTTGTAAAAGCATGTAAGAACTCTTTGAGAATGGTAAATATGGTATCACGTTAAGCTACATATGTAGTACATAAAAGTTTTTGCACTGTGTCAATAGATGAGCCTCTTGAGTTTTCTCCTTGCTGTTTCAGATGAAGAACCTTCTGCAGCTCAATCTGGGAATAAGTACTTCTTGTCAACACATTTCCCATTTAGGAAGTCATGTCAGAGCAGGCACTGCCTAACACGAGCTGCCATGATGCAGCCTTGGATCACCTGTACAGTAAATGCAAAGAATTTTGCAACATTCAAGCTTATTTCAAAAGGCTTCCTTTGGACAAACTGACAGATATGCATGGTATTTCCACTTTTTTATTTGCTGGAACTTGTGGAGATCTTCCTCCCCTCAGCCCCCAGCTTGCACCACCAGCTGGATTTGAGGTTATTTCATGGTTATACATCACCTTATCCTTGTACTGCTCTGCATAAAGGTTTTGGGTTTGTTTTTTTAAGTTAGTATGAAAACCTTTTGTGCTTCAAAAAAGAAATTAAGCATCAATTTCAAGTACGAACAAGTCCAAGGAAAAGAGAAGGATAAAACCAGCTGTGATCGGGCTCTGCACAGAAGCAAAACACAGCACAGGTACCCGAAATTTAGATATGAAAAGATAAACCAGAGCAACCTCATCAGTTCGACTTTATCTTGTACGCCTCCTCCTGTTAATTTATGATAAACATCTTCTGTTTAATAGGTAGGATAAAAAAAGAGGAAAGGAGGGAAAAGCAGCTTGAGGAGGCTTATGATTATACAGTATTTTCACAGTGTTAGAAGTATTTTAACTGCATATTTTATATCAATACAGAGCATCAGGAGAATGGGCCTAACTGGAAGAAAAAAACAAAAAGGAAAGTTGCTTGCACTCTTCTGTGGTCAAAACTGACAGTGGACATTTATGCTATAGAACAGACTTACGAACTACAAATGTTGGGAAAGTAAAACCTTTCTGAATTAAGAATTTCATGGGATAAATCCTACTTGGAATTTGCCTAAGAACATGAATTATGTTTCTTCCTTCTGTTTCCCCAGTTCAGGGGGACAATTCTTAAGCATTAGCTTGTGGTTTAATTTTTGGAGCTTGAGGACATAGCCACATTTAATGATTTAAATGCTGTTCTGACAATTTTATGAGTCACAATGTGTATATTTTCCTTTAAAATGTAAAATATTAGATGAGAAGACAGAAAACTGAAGACACCCTTTATGTTAAAAAAAAAACCACCAAACCCTCTTGTCTTCTCTTCATCTTTTGAGCCAGATGAATTATTGAATATGTATAATAAAAGACCAGGTCTCCTCATAAATATTAATTAGCCAGAAAAATTGTTTAAAAATACGAGTCCTAGTAAAAGATAGGAGAAAAAAAAAAAAAGCCACAGTTTCAACTTGATTTTTATTCTGCATGACTCCCCAGACCACTAAATACAGTCTGCAAAGACCTGTCTCATGAATAACGATGCATATCAGTAATTTCATTGACCTCAGTGTTGCAGGATCACTGCCATAATTTGAAATTGCACAGACAGCATAAAACATGAAAACAATCCAATTAAAAAGGCAGATGCCCCTTGCTTCCTAATTAGTGCATAGCCCACTTTGGACCTGGGTGTGCAAGGGAAGTATCCTGAATTCAGTACCCTGAACTCTCCTCTGAGCTTATATTTGCTGCTTATCATCATTATACAGAAATAAAACCTACCTTAAAGAAAGGCATTCC